TTTGATTTAACCAGGTAGGTCTCCCTTAAATTTAGATTTTTATGGGAGACTTTAGTGTCCCTTAAAAAAAGATTTTAAGGTCTAAATTTTTTTACCTATACATATTTATACGTTCCACTCAATTAATGTGATTTATTTATTTTCTATTTCTATTTCTATTATTTTTCTATTATAAGTTTTATATCGTGATATATATCGTTACCGCCACCCATCGTAATGTATATCGTGATATGAATTTTTTGCCATATCGCACATTCCTAACCCTGTAACACCACGTAAATAAAATAAGGGGCACACAACAACACAATATTTCAGTTATATATTAGAAAATGTTGACATTTATCGTGGTAGTACATTATAAAAAAATCTGTCAAAATTTACTGCCGTGTATAATACGACTTCCCAACTTTATAGACGATTTTTGGGGTCATATTTTTCCCATTATGCAGGCATAAATATAGTATGTTTTTTATGCCTGTCTTTTCTGTGCCTTTAGACCGCTCCTCCATCTCCCAGCATTCATAGCCAGTGGCCAGAACCTCCACCTTCGTCCACAAGCACCCCCAACAACATAAGTCAATATTTTGATCTCTATGACATCAAGGAGTCTTCCTGCCACACCTTCATATCACGCTTGGACTTACACATATGCAATGACAGCTCTTCAATGGATGAAGGTTAGCTGGAAGTACACCAACCTGCACTGTCTTGTTGCTCCAGTGTGTTTGTGCTTATTGTGTCCCTTCAATATTCGCTGAAACACAACAAACTGCTCAGTATTTAAAGGCTAATAACTGTGGAGTTGGTTTCAAACAGTATTCATGTGATTCTGCACAGACGAGCCTCCTCCTCCGGGCCTGCAGTGTGCCATGCAGCTGACGTTCAGGAAGCTGGGCTTTGACTACTATCCCATTCACAGACCTGGTGAGTGTGACCATCGCCTCTTTTTCTGTGTGTTTAAGCTGCAGTTTTAGCCTGAGGCTCTGTGTGTGTGTGCACACTCCTCCCTGTAGAACCACAACAATCATCCAAGACAGCTCATTTGGAGAGTCACTCTTCAGGCAGACTAATGGCACGGGAGAGAGTTATACTCTGAGGAATCTCTCACCTGATGAATAGTTTTTATTCAGTCTAATTAAAGCCAATACAACAGTTAGAATAGCTACACTTGTGGCAAAAAGGAAGAACAACTAGTTTTTTTCTTGGACATAAATAAACCCCCTTACAGGTAGTTAAACCTCAAAAGAACAGCAACTCAGAAAGTGTAACTGTGTCATAGTTTATTTATTCAAAATAAAGCCAAAGATACTGAAGCTGCGTGTTTCTAAACTTATCACAATTTTAGAGGCAATGTGCAAAACACTGGACAGCCTCAAGAGACTTAATTATGGTTTTGTGTGTGGGAAAAACAGAACAATCAAAAAAAAACTAATAAAATCTAAATATCAAGATTTCAATTACCCAAGTTTTTATTATTTTTTTATTTGTTATTGCAGTGTTAGTGGCCCAAATTTTACATTCATTACACCTTAAAGTGTAACTCACCCCCCCTGTGAAAAGATAACTCCGCCCCAAGGCGAAATTTGAAAAATGCATCAAAGTGGG